TGCTGGAAGTCACAGAGCTGCTCCGGGGGGACACACAGGTCCCCACAGGAAAGATGTCCTGGCTCGCAGAAGTCCTGGGGCTGGGGGGCGGGGGCCCAGAGTCCAACAGGCGGGCTGGGCCCCTCTGTGGGGGCAGAATAGGGGTCAGGCGGGCAGGGGTGGCGCTTCTCCGGGGGGGGGTAGGGGCTCGGCAGGCCCACCTGGGACTGGCTGGCAGTGGTCCGACAGGATGAGGTCATCCAGGCTCACGACGCCGCCCGGGCCCGTGTGCCCAGTGAGCAGGATCTGAGGGCGCAGGGGGCTCAGGGCGTGCCCCAGCACCCTTCTGTCCTCCCCAGGTCGGCTCCCTCCAGCCTCCCTCTCCCCGCCTCGTACTTTCCATGTCACTGGACACCCACTCTGGCCACCGTCCCCCACACGGCCCTGCAAGAGGGGCTGTGAAAGTGACCGCTCCTTCCCTGGGGCGTCCTCCCGGAGCTCACCAACAAACAAACCAGCTTCCTGCTGAGGCGGCCTGGAGCGACCAGGGCCAGCCCCCCGCCCGAGCTCCCCTGCCCCCACCTGTGGGGGCCCTCCAGACCTCCCACGTGGCCCCCCGCCCCCGGCCACTGTTCTCTCCAGCCTCACCCGGAAGGGGTGCTCGCTCTGGATGTCAACCCGGTCTCGGACCCAGGCGGCCCCCAGCTCCCCATGGCGCCTGCGCAGCAGGACGGGGCCCTGGGGGGAGCCCGGGCTCTGGGTCTGCAGGAACAGCTGGAGGTAACCATCCTCGGACCCATGCAGGTAGTGATAGAAGATTAGCTGAGAAGAAGCCGAGGAAGGTCAGGGAGACCCGCAAGCCCGGGCCCCCGGGGCCGGCCACCCTGTGTCCCCCACCCGCCTCACCGAGCAGTTGTGGGCGCCTGAGGCTTGGAACTCAGGGCTGGAGAGGACAGCGGGAGCACTGGGCTCGGCCACGGAGACCAGGAAGGAGCCTGGGGAGAGACAGGTGTGGGCCGGGCTGGCGGGGCTGTGGTGGGTGTGGACCAGCGTCCCCGACGGGCCTCACCGTGCGCGCTGTTCCGGCTGTGGTCGCGGCGGGGCCAGGCTGCGGGCCTGGCGCCGGCGCTGTGGTTCCGGGCCCAGCCCTCCGAGGGGTTCCACGGGCCCAGGCCTGTCTCAAAGTCTGTGGCCGTGTGGTGGCCTGGCGGGGGAGGGGTGCTCAGGCTGCCAGCAGGGCCTCTCCGCCCACCCCACGCCCCATGCCCCGCCACGTCCTCTGGGCGGCCCGCGGCAGCCCCCAGCTCACGGCAGGCCGGTCCGTCCTCGTCCGAGCTGTCCCCACAGTTGTCCTCCCCGTCACACAGCTGGTGGGGCTCCACACAGCCCATGTTCTGGCAGTGGTGATGCCCTAGGAGGCAGTGTGCCTGGGGAGCTGAGATGGGGGAGGGGCAGCCCCTCACGGTGACCCCAAACCTTGGGGCCGGGGCAGCTGGGGGAGAGGCTCGAGACCATCTGAGTTGGGAGTGAGCAGGTGAGGGGCTCCTGCTAACCGCCCCCCCGCCCCGCCCCGTGTGGGTCCATGGCAGGGGGGCCTTACCGGGCAGCCCACAGCCCCTGAAGACCACGTCGTCCAAGGCCACGGTGCCCCTGTGGGTGGCATTTCGAGTGGCAGAGAAGGTCACCTGAAAAGAGTGGGGTCCTTAGGACTTAAGTCCGGGCTCAGACCCTCCCTGCTGCCCCCAGCACCCAGACCACCCCCAGCTCACCCGGAAGTCGTCCCGGATGCGGCCAGTGGTCACCAGCAGCTCCTGCCAGCCTGGGCCCCAGGGCCCAGAGCTCTGCCACAGGGTCAAGGTCTCGGCCCTGTGTGTCAGCTCTAGCCGCAGCTCAGCCACATCTGGAATGGGGGGGGTCCCGGGGTGGCTCGGGCGCCAGGGCTTCCCCAGCCTGCTGGCTGCGCCCTGCCCTAGGACGCTTGTCCCTCCTGTGGGGTGCCCTCTCAGGCTCTGCAGCAGCTCTCCTTCCTTTCGGGTCTCTCCCCTCAGACACGCCACCCTGGCAGCAGGGTCCTGGGCACCCACCTCCAGACGCTGCATGGTACCAGAGCCTCAGCTCACAGGTGGGGGCTGCGTTGTGCAGGACGGGGGAGCGCACGGCTGCAGTGGAGGCCTCTTTCCCACGGTGGGTGCCAACAGCCATGTACCAGCCTGGCCCAGCAGAGAGGTCAGGACATGGGGCCGGAAGTAGAGGGGAGGGGGCATCACGGAGACCCGCCTGGCCTCACCAAGGTCCGTGCCAAGAGTGTGGTCTGAGCGCGGCCCCAGAGCCTCCACTGCGGCTCCCGCCCGGTCTCGAAGCCAGCTGTAGCCTGAGGTGCTGATGTCCTGCCAGCCGCAGGAGTCCTGCTCGAAGTCGCAGGCGAAGGGGGCGCCCAGGGCGGGCGAGGCTCTGTGGTAACCTGGAGAGCAGGAGGTCAGCGGCCGCCTGCGGAGGGTGGGCCTGCCTGCCCCCTGCCCAGCCCCAGCTCACCACACTGGGTCTCCTCGGAGCAGCCTGGACAGTCACACACGAAGTTGCACGTGGCCTCGCGGGGGACCCTGCAGTTGTTGGGGATCCAGGCCCAGCCTAGGGGCCCAGCTGCTAGCAGAGAGACAGCCAGGTGGCGGGAGGCAGGGTGACCCCCCACTCCCGGGCAACCCACAACGTTGTTCTCCTGCTTTGGGGCCTGGGGCCAAGAGGTCAGGTGGGGAGGGGGCGGGGTCCTGCCGAGTGCCTCTGGCCTGGGGGAGGGTGGCTACATGGGGGGTTGGCAGGGCTTATGTGAGCGTGGGACCAAGGGCCCCCACCATGGGGCAGCCCCCGAGGAGGGGAGCCTGAGCCCAACAAGGAACAGGAGGGACTGCCGGGAGGGTGCCCCTGCCCCCTCCTCAGGCTCCGTCTGGTCTAAGAGTGGGGGACTAAGGCCTTGCCTTGGGACCTGTGGACTTTGGGGGCCAGAGGAAGCAGAATTCTTGTCCCTTTCGAAATGGCTTATCTTGCCCACCCCCCCACCCCCGCAAGTTCACCCAGGGCCTAGCACCTGTGCCCATGGCTGACCCTGCTTTGGCAGCCAGATCCGACAACTCACCCAGCAGCAGGACCAAGGCCGGCAGGAGGTGGCCGGGCAGAGGCATGGCCGGACCAGGGGGAATGGACGCTGTGCGTGCTGGGCGGCCTGTGGCTATTTTGCCCGGTTATCTGCCTGTGGCCCCACAGGCTGACTCTGCTCCAACTGGAGAGTGGGGCCTTGGCCCCTTCTGTACCTGCTGCCCGTCTGCAGGCCCCACCCTGTGCTGATGAAGATGAACATCCGGCTGTAAAAGTGTCCAGGAGAGGGGCCCCTGGCCCAGGTCGGCTCCCACCTGCCCGGCTCCTTCAGACCAAAGGTCGGGCCGCAGTCATCATGCCCACCACTGCCCAGCCCTGCCTGGTGGAGGCCCGGTGGGGGAGGCGCTGCAGTGACCCCGTCAGGCTCTGAGGTCTCCCAGAGCTTGGAGCAGTAGCCCTACATGTGCACACCGAGCCCCCCGGCCCCCTGCCCCAAGCAACCAGGGGCTTCATCCTTCTCCGGAACTCAGTCCGTGGCTTCCAGTTGGCTTATTCAAGTATAAGTGACAGTCACTTATCCAACAACCGTTCCGGGCAGTGCGGCTGGGGGCTGCCAGGCACACACCCTAGGGCCTGGCTGCCACTGACCACGGTGGGACCTCTGGAGCTTGCCTTACCGGACCTGTCTCATCAGTGACATGTGGTCACAATAGCGCCTGCCTAGACTGGCGACCGTGAGGCTCCCATGAGCTCACAGAAGGCACCCACCACGAGATGGCACCCATGCTCACGGGGAGCCACAGGACAGCCGCTCAGCAGTGCGTGGCTCTCCCCTCTCCCATACTACATCCACTTGCCACAGCTGGTCCCCCCACAGCCCTGCACTGGGAGGAGGGGAGGGGGTCCTGGGAAGGGGGCTCCCAGCTCCAAGTCTGAAGCCTCAGCCATTTACTTTGAGCAGGAGCCTGTGGCTGCGGGGCAGGTGCCGTGGGACCTGGTCTTGGAAGGGGTCCTGGGTCACATCACGTGTGACCTCCAATGGCAGATCACACGGGGACACTGATATCAGCTGGCCCCGAGGGACCTGGTGCTACTTCCTTGCGCAAGAGCTCAAAGAGCCTCCTCCCAGATGTCCTTGGACATAGGAGCCAGGTGGAGGAGCAATCAGGCCATAAACGGGGGCAGCAGCGCAGGGGCCCCCTTATCAGACCACAAAGGGCTGACGGTGCATTGCCGCTCCCTGGGGCCCCCAGATGTGGAGCCGGGTGGGGGGCAGCCAGCAGGGGCCCTGCTGTTTTCCAGGGCCACCTCCGGCTCTCTGCCACCCACCCCCTCTAGTCAGGGGTCCCCAGGGGTGACCGGGAAACAGAAAAATCAAGACACACAGCATCTGGGGAACAGCAGGGGTGATAACATTTTTAATTCCTGTGGGTGAGGTAAAGCGGGGCACTTGGGCCAGGCTGTTGTTGGTCTCCAACGCCCGGCCAGGGGGTACAGCTGGCCCCTTGGGCAGGCCTCAGTAGCCGTCATCGGCCCAGGTGACCTCGTAGTCAGGGTACATGGCTTTGATCTTCTCAGTGGAGACGGAGTGTTGGGCACGACCATAACCCTGAAGAGAGAAGCCAATCTTACAGCCCCATCCTGGCTCTGGGCGTCCATCAGCAGCAAAACCCAGGAGCCGGCTTGGGGAGGGGTCGCCGGGTGGAGCCACACATGGCCATCCCCCCCTGACTGCCCCAGGGAGCTCTCCTGAGGAAAGGTGGCTGCCAAGGTGAGCAGTCCTTGAGGGTGGGCCCTGGGCTAGAGGGCTATCCCAGGTGCCAAGAGAGACAGGGTAACCACTGTGGCTTGGAGAAGGCAGAGGGACAGGCTTCTGAGCTCCACCCCAAAACTGACCGCCTCCAAGAGCTGGAGGGCAGTGATGGCCCAACCAGGCCTGGTGTAGGAACAGGACATGGCCCCCTGTGGCTGGGGGACAGGCAGGGGCCTCCCTCCCACCCCACGTGGGAAATGGGGAAGCCACTGGAGGGAGGGGTCTGCAGCTGAGACAGGCCAGAGAACCCCCAGCACTGCAGGCCTCCTGGGTGCAGGGCAGCGAGCGCTCGTGAGAGCTGGTCTCTTAACCCCCGACCTGGGCTGTGGGCTCACCATGGAGTAGCCATACACGTGGATCTTCTTGTCCAGGCTCTGGTGGGAGATGCGCCCGCCTCCCAGGCACTCACAACTATAGCCCTTCTTCTGCATCTCGCCCGATACCTTGTCATAGATGTCAGCTGGGACAGGGAAGGTAGCTCAGCACCGGCCATGGCCCTCGGAGGCCCAGGCCATCTGAAGCTCCAGCTCTGAGCGGCTCCTTCCCCAGGAGAGGAGCCCCTCCAGGCTGGGACGCCATGAAAGGGAGGAAGGCGTGCACCCGGGCAAGAGCGCTGAGACTAGGAGATTGCAGTTGGGCCATGGCAGCCCCTTGCTCTCCAGGACCCTGACTCCCTGAGCCAGGCCAGAATCAGACCTGGTACAGGATCGTGTCTCGCCACGCCCATAGGCCCCGCCCCGCCCCTTAGCCGACTGGCCCCGCCCCGAAAACGCCCTCCGGCTCCACCCTCACCATGGTACTCGGCCCACTTGTAGCCGCGCACGATCTCCTTGCTCTCCCCGGCCGGGGCCTCGGCCGGCGGCGCCGAATGAACCCGAATCAGCACGTACTTGAAGACGCCATCGGAATCGATGTCCACATCGGCGATCTGGGCGAGGTCCGCCGCCGCCATATTCCCCGCAGCCCGCCCGCCCCTGCAGACCGCGCCCTTCCCCCAGCGATCCCGGGTTGAGTCAACCGTGCGAGAGGCGGGCTCTAGGAGTCCGTGACCAATCGCGCGGGGGCATGCTGCTGGAGCTCAGAGCCGCAACCGATCGTGCCGCCGAGCTGCGGCACAGACTGACCAATGGCAATCTAGCTCCTTGCAACGCCGAGGCCACGCCGGTCCCCCTTGAAGGGGACCAGGGAACCGGGAGTGGGTGGTGATTAAATCCAGCCAACGGAGCAGTTCCTTTTTAGCGGGGTCTGGGAGGCGGAGTGGGCAGCGGGGACGGTGGCGGGCTCCTTTAGACGGGGTCTGGCGGCCCGTGAGGGCCCAAGGGACAGGCACCGGTTCCGATCTCTCCTCGTCCCCTCACCCCCATGTCCCAAGGCCTCTTCCTCGTCATCCCACCGCGTCCCGAGCCCTCTCTCAGCGTCCTCCCACCGCGTCCCAAGGCCTCCTCCCCGTCCCCCACCGCGTCCCAAGGCCCTCCTCCGTGTCGTTCCACCGCGTCCCAAGGCCCTCCTCCCCGTCCCCCACCGCGTCCCAAGGCCCTCCTCCCCGTCCCCCACCGCGTCCCAAGGCCCTCCTCCGTGTCGTTCCACCGCGTCCCAAGGCCCTCCTCCCCGTCCCCCACCGCGTCCCAAGGCCCTCCTCCGTGTCGTTCCACCGCGTCCCAAGGCCCTCCTCCGTGTCGTTCCACCGCGTCCCAAGGCCCTCCTCCGTGTCGTACCACCGCGTCCCAAGGCCCTCCTCCCCGTCCCCCACCACATCCCAAGGCCCTCCTCCGTGTCGTTCCACCGCGTCCCAAGGCCCTCCTCTGGGTCGTTCCACCGCGTCCCAAGGCCCTCCTCCCCGTCCTCCACCGCGTCCCAAGGCCCTCCTCCGTGTCCTTCCACCGCGTCCCAAGGCCCTCCTCCCCGTCCCCCACCGCGTCCCAAGGCCCTCCTCCCCGTCCGCCACCGCGTC